GCACTTCCAGCCCACCCTGTCCATGCTTTTTTGGACAATGCCCCATCTGCAATGAAAAGTAATTTTTCATATAGCTCCCACACAGAGGGCCTGACGAAGGTCGGGCCAGTGATGCCCCAACACCCCAGTCTTCTCACAAACGTGCCCCTGCACACATGCACACCGACTCTGCAAGGCTCATAAAGCAGCTTTCAGCGCCGCTCAGAACCCTGTGTTAACGGGCATCTGTAGCCAGCTTCTGCACAGTGACTAATTCTCTGCCGAACCCAGGCAGGCAGGCAGGCAGAGCAGAGAAGCTGCCACAGGAGCCCAGAGAAGAATGTCTGTCCTCTGTGGCTCTGGAGGGCATATTGGCAAGTCCCGAAAGACAGGAAGGGAAGAAAGAGCCGCAGAAATGGCGAAGGAAGAACCGCCAAGTCCGACTGCGTCCAGTCACCCAACCTAGGCACTCAATGTCGACCGCTTTACGCAAGTACAGAATGAAGACACCATTACCTCACGTTTTTCCAGTGTTTCTTTTCCATGTCATTTCTTCTGCTAATTATTTGAACAATAACAGGCGCAATGCCCCCGGTCAACACTGTACAGCCTGGTGTGAGCACATCCCATTCATAAAAGACATTTCCTAGTCTTGTGCAAACACTAATCAACGCTTGCATTTTGTAAGGCAGGTAGCTAAGGAGCCCTAGTTCACAGGTGCTTAAACAGAGAGGTTAAGACAAGAGAGTAATTTCACTGTGGAGGCTTCCCTAGATTGGAAGCTCACAGCTTCCAGGGAACAGGGGGAGCCCTTATTCTCGGAGGAATAAATAAATAAATCCTAGTGCAGGGATAAAAACAGTCCAGTGCACCGCAGGAGCCAATCAATACCAAAAAAAAAAAAAATAGCTCCAATCACTGCCTATTCTTAAAACATCCATCTGTCCATTGTCAGATTCTGACTAGCCTAAGAAAGTCCCGCTTCCTCTTCCTTCTGTCCTTGATTTTTCAGGAGGTTTCAGCTTTTGCTCTCTCCAGAGCACTGTAGTCAAAATGCAGCGCTCATGTTATATAAAGGAAGGGATATTTTCTTCTTTGCACAATGCCTTGAAGAAATACCCCTTAAGCAGACGGGGAGTCTGATCCTGACTTCATGCAGGAGGAGTTCTGGGACGGGCTTAGAGCTTCTCCCTATGGCATCCACTGTCTTCTTCAGGGTGTATCTAGAGCTTCCAGTAACTGCTGCCAAAATGGGAGTGCTCTGCTCTCAAAATTCATTGCTTTAACCCACATTTGAATTCTGATCATGGGAAAGACTGCCCATCAGTCACTCAATGGATTAATTCCTTGATTGCTACTATTTGGGAAATCTGCCCATTCCAGCTCACCAAAAGCAAGGATTCTGAAAGAGTTAAAAGTGTTTCCTTACTTTCCCATTTAACAAAATGTGTGGACCTCCTATATATTTTTTTCTCATTACCTCTGCTTCTTTAAGTATTATAGCATAGTATAAACATTATATGAATAAAATTTAATTCATCATACACAAACAAATGTCCCTCAAGTATTTATTTTTGGAAATTATTGGGAGAGGCAGTCTTTCCTTCAGGGTCAGTCTCCCCAGCCAACGCCCCCCACCCCCCGCCCCCGGCCCCACCAAGTAATTTTCAGCATCTTGTGGAGATTATCTTTCAAGGGTTTTCTGCATACGTGCTAGAGCCCTAACCCTTCACAAGAACAATCTCACTCCTCACACGGGAATTTTCTGCAGGTTCTTTTCTTTCAGATGGCTTTCTATTTTCGATAAGTCACGAGAGGGGCTTGTGCAGGAAGCTTAGCTTTAACCTCCAAAGTTGTGCAGTGAAACAATGTGCACTTTTTGTCCTGAAAAAAATTACACAGAATATCATAGAAATATATTAAACAAGTAAAATATATCTAACATATCCAGGACCCTTTAAAACAGTGTCCTTTTCCACAGCCACTACTTAGCATCTCTCAAAATTAGGTGCTTTCATCCTGAGTTAATAATAAAAATGGCTAGACTTTCCTGAGCACTTTCTTTGCAGGACAAATCAATGCATGAAGATCTCATGTAATCCTCATAATAACTGCATATGATCGTACTATTATCCCCATCATACACATCATAGTAATGTTACAACAACAGTAGCTATGATTTATTTATTCAGTGCCTAACTATGTGCCAGACACCTCACTTCAGATGTCTTCATCTAATCTATGCAAAAGCATTATAGAGTTGGTTCTCTAGTTATTCCCATTATACCGATGAAGAAACTGAGCCCACAGTGGATAAGTCACGGACTCAAGATAAATACTAATAAATGCCAGAATTCCAACCCAGATTGGCCTGATTCTAGATTTCTTAACCACTTTGTTCTACTGTCTCAAACAAACACTAAGAACAAATGAAAATCAATGAGTGGGGCTGAAAAAGATTCCCAAGAATAATTGAGCAAATCATTTCTACTTCTCCCTTAGTTTCCCCGACTCAAGCTTTCTACCACTTTCGTAGGGGCTCCTAAGTCAAAACACACCATCACCCCCTGTTCCCTGTCCTCTCTCACTTCCACACAGTCACATACACACACATCATATAACTGTAAGGACATATCACATCAAACAAATGCTCATCTAACTATTGAATAGAATGATATCAAAACCCCATTCATTTTGCCTTACCACCAGCTTGCACATCTAAGAGCAGGACCTGGGCATACCTTAAGCCTGGTATATCACACAGGATATGGGGTGGTAGCTGTCGGAACTAAATATCTTCCATTGTTAGAGGTGCTGTTCCCTATGAATATCCTCTCATTTAAACTTCCTAAGAATATTCCAGAGGGCTTCTTTTTTTTTTAAAGATTTTATTCATTTGAAAGAGAGAGAGCATGAGCGCGGGTGAGGGGCAAAGGGAGAGGAGAAGCAGACTCTCCGCTGAGCAGGGAGCCCGATGCAGTACTCGATCCTAGGACCCTGAGATCATGACACTTAACCAACTGCACCACCCAGGTGCCTCCCAGAAGGACTTCTTATGTACAGTTTAGAGACTCAGAAAAATAATCATCAAATAAATATTTAAAATTAGTTCTTCCACCAAAGCCTGTGTTCTTTCCATGAATAGACTGCAATGATGGATGATACTTCTCCATTTGCCGACACTCCAAGTAAAACAAAACAAAACAAAACAAAACAAAACAAAACAAAACAAAACAAAACAAAAAAAACAGGGTAAATTCGAACTCCACAAAAAGAAAACCGTGTCCTTCACTGTAGGGAAACAAAAATTAATGCCAGATTATAGCCACGCTCATAGGTACAGATGTCTTCCACAGCCAAGGCTTCATCCCTTCAAAGTCTACGACCCAAGTTGAAGTGAAATGACAGAATCATTTTTGTCAGACGTCCTAATTGTGGATAGCATAATATGAAGAAATAACCCTGCAAAATGACCCCAAATACTGGATCATTTTTTTTCATTCCAATGAAATATGGCAAAGGAACTTTGGGCACCATCTTCATGATCCCCATAAATACGCACACCTTTTTCCTGAATAAATATTAATAACTGTATTATTGAAATCGATTTCTATAAATTTAAAAATAATTGATACCATAAAACAAACTTTATCATCATTGCAAAGGGAGAATTTAACCTTTTATTCCAGAAGAAAATGGAAGTCTTCATCCTGGATCAATCTCCAATGCTAACATTACTGCACTCATCACTATGAATGTCCATGAGGACGAGGACTTTGAACCAAAGGAAGGGAACAACCATCAATTTGTTCTGAGAAATGGAGACGTGGTAGAATTTTCTAAACTGTTTAAACTGGGACTCAATGGCACTGTCAAACTATTGTTTTCCTTTCTTTGACCACTAAATATAGAGGCCAGTCTTCTCTGGGGTAATGGGCATCCTGGAATGAGCCATGTGAAGCCGCGGGCTTGTCATTCAGAGCATCACTTGCTCTGTTCTAGAATCCTGGAATACTCCATGACTGCTGTTGCCCCAGACCATCTCCAAACAAATGGGAAGCTAATTTGCATAAGCCTCATTTCCATTTTATTCATCCTCTGCCAAAATCTAGATCAGGATGTTTAATATCATCTCGCTGTGGGAGGTCACAGGAATTTAAAGGGCATTCCTGGTCAAGGATTAGAAAGCATAGGTTCTAGAGTTGAGTTTCTATTTGAAATCCAAAGCTGAAAGAAGAGAAAGCCTGTTGCAAGACACAGAGTAAGAAAAACAAAAAGACCAACTAAAATATAAGCAGGGAAGAAACCAGAACCATCGCTGTGTTCTTCTCTCTCTGTGGATGAGCTAGAAAGCCACCACTGAGGGGGTAGCTATGATGTACACCAGCTACCTAACTTGCATTTCCATATTTAGTCTTTTTTGACTCCTTGATACATAAGTAAAGACCCAGAGGAAAAGAAAGTCAAAAGGCAGGTGGTTTTCTCAATGTTAAACCTCTTTTACACAGCAGAAGCAAGAGAAACACAGTAGTCTCTGGCTATAACTCCATTCCCTTAACCCAGAGGACCTCCCTTCTGCTGACCCGCTGTTTTCTGACATTGTTCTTCATACAACAGCAATGTGTCCTGATAAGTGTAAACAAAAACCTCGGGGGTTCACTCAGCATTTGAGTGTTTTCTTCTCCTTGAACATTAAACAGTCCGAGACAAACTGTTAACTTAAACTCAACTCTATTGAGGTTTACGAGCCCAATTTTTAGGTGTGTGTGTCAAGGTTATTTCCGAATCATAAATCAGCTCTATGTCACAGTAAACATATACACACAACACACACACGCACAGATGTAGACGTGAACACAAATGTCTTGAGCAAACATGATCCCATTAGAAGGAGAAAACAAAATGTCTTCTGAAAACTGCAAAAATCCTGCAACACTAACAGCACCTTCTCTGGCTCATTAATTCTGGCCTAAATTTGCTACTGTCAGGCAAATCAGGCACACTGTCCAGCAGACACCCACCTGCTATTAGGCTGAATGTGCCCGGCATCTTGACATTCTATTGATTCCAATCCAAGGCTTATGTAAAAAAAGGCAGCCTCAGAGTCCAAAAGGAATTTTAGCCACAAATACTTTGGGAGAAATCCAAACAACTAAAAACAGAAAGAAAGACAAGATGCAAATCTGAGTGACAAAATTGAGACAACCCAAACCAGACTGCTGAGAGTTCAATGACAAATCTACAAATGACCCAGGCACCCCCTTTTGAAAAATACTTATTTTAGGAAATTCCAATAGCCTGGGCATTGGATGACCACCCCCTCCTCGTCTGGACTATTGGCATATAGATTCATAAGGGTATTCATTATTATTCCAATGGTGTTGCTTTTAAGGAAGACCCTGTCAATTCCTGCCCTCTAGATCCCCATACATTTTCAGTAAAAATATGCCTCACTATAAACATGGTCCTGATAATGACAAAGGATTCAGGTACTTAAGCTGTTAAAAGAAACCAGAAACTACGTAAAGGGCTTTAAAAGACTGTGTCCCTTAGCCTTCAAAACAGCCCTCTGAGCTAAGCGTTTGATTTCCACTTTATAGATAAGGAATACTGAGGTTCTGAGAGGTAAAATAATTTTCTCCGGGTAGCTGGAAAACGAGATATTGGGGAAGAGAGAGCGTCAGGATGCATTTATAAATTTTCTGACACCTCTCAGCCCTTGTCCACCCCCCAAATAACCTACGCCTAAGTAAAAGGGGTCTACGTCCAATTTCCAAATCCTGGCACTGACAACTTTGGGGGCAGCTGCTTGTCACAGTCAACTATGCATAAACAAGACGGCTCTGGGGGTATTCTTTAAAACCAGACCAACTCTCTCTTACTTTAGCCGAGAGAAGGCATACATTTCAAAATAAAAGTAAATATATATATTAAAAGAGAGAGAGAAGGAGAAACCTGTAATCCCACCAAGCAGCATGAACTTCAGCTGGCTCCCACTCCTCCCCTCTGGCCCCCCACGCCCACCAGCCACTGTACTTCAAAGACAGCTCTGGGAGGAAGGGGAGCATGAGATCCATCGGGGCCAGCTGGAAGAAGGACCTCATGCTTAGGGGAGAGTAGAAGAGGAGTGGAGATTCACTGCAGATGTCAGTCATCTCAAAAAAAAAAAAAAAAAAAAAAAGAATTCAAAGTGTTTTCCAAAAGCTGGTTTCTACCAGGCTGCCGGAAGGATCAGAAGATACAAGGTTTCGACTGGGAGGGATGTGTTACTGCTGCGCAGAAATTTGTAACTTCCAAGGTTTGTAAGAGGGTTGCAGGTTTTTGAGTGCTAGTCTGGGTTTAAAAAGCAGGGCCAGCCATCGAGATTTCAATGAGACTTGATTTGCCCCTTTAACCATGGTAAGACAGGAGTATTTTACTCTGCAATACAGCATCTTTTGTGACTCTTGAGCATCCCTTCTGTGACTTTGTCCATGTCTATAAGTTGAAGCCAGACTCTTTTTTTTTTGCAAGAGAATGTTCCTACATTGAGCTACATAAGAGTAAACATGTGAAATAACCAAGCAGTTCCTTACAAAGGCATGTCACATTCCCCGATCCTCATCTGCCCTACTCTGCGGTGGCATCTATTCCTGCTGGTGTCAGGGCTAGAAAGGTCTGCCTGCGAGTCCGGCCAAAGCATCCTTCTTGCCGCTCTGCCTCTGATTTACAAGGTGACTTCTCAAAAACAGCCACTTAGCCATCTCGGCCTGGGTTTATCATCCATCAGTTATCATTGTTACTGCTGCCATTATTATTCAAAATGCTTATAGACTTATAAAGATGTTCTGATCTGATAATAATGTTTGCAATATGCTTTTACACTGCCTAGTTAACAGGGCACCTGTGATTTTCATGCCGGCACAAGTCACAAAAGCTGCAACTTTCTGAATGGTTACACATAGAAATGGCGGGGGGAGGGGGGAGTGTGGATGTATTAAAAAAAAAAAAAAGACTGGGTATCCTTTTGTACACGGTGACAGCATAAAAGGCAGCATTCCAGGCAATAATAAAAACTTTCTTCCTCAACTCAGAACTTGACAGACTCTCTCCAAAGGCAGTGATTGCCATTAGCAAGTCTGTCCTTGACCTTCTCGTTCAAGTCCTATTGACAGTAAAGGAAGTAGAACACATATATTGAAGGCAGGGCCTGGTCTTCAGAGGCTAACCAGCTGACTAATGAAGAGCATACTGCCTAGAAAGCAGAATATCGAAGGGGAGCATGGATGCAGGGAATTAATAAAAATCCCATGCACCTCCTTTTTAATGGCAGCAACAGTGGGCTTGTGACTAGAATTCTCCTCTTCGTGATGCACTCAACTCTCCTGAATGTCAACAGGAATTCGGTAAGAGCACTTCAGGAGAAAATGGATTCATACGTCATTTCAAATGAATCATTTCACTTCCTCTCCTCCATTTTTTACATATACAGACAAAATATAAAAATAATTTCAAAAAATCGATTCAGCTTTGGAGTTTTCTACTCCAACAGCAAACGTAGACATCAGAATTATAAGAATTGGTAGCCTTTGAAAAATTATTTAAATGGGTCACCCACAATGGAATCCCACGGGTTTCCGATTTGCCAACCCAAAATGAAAAATGCAAGGACGATGCATTACAAATCACTCCTTATTTATAATGAGATTTGAATTTCCATTTTGTTTTTAACAGTTTCCTGGCAAATGTCCTGAGCTATATTTAAAGGTATAACAACATTTAAGATCATAGGCAGAGCTGGCTTTTCACTTTTTCTGAACAGAAATACAAACCACATGCTCATTTTATGACTTTCAGGTCAAGGATTGGGATTGGCCATCAGAATGTTTGCTGCCTTCTGAGCTAGTAGATCCATGCTCTTGGGGATCTGGAATGCCTTCGAGGTATGTCTATAAGGCCCTTCCTCCACTGCAATAGAATATAACCACCATCAAGCAAGCAATTGGTTTTAATATGGAGAGCTGTAAATCTGAATGAGTTTGATAACAAAAAGACAAATGGATTGTTAACTTAGCCCCAAAAGGTACAAGCAGTTTTTACTGCCATTGCTTTAGGGATTAGATTCTCAGAAATTGGAACACACAATCTTTGGCTTTCCTTGAAAGAATGCTAGAGGCAATATGCTGATTATTTTTCAAAGGAGGAAAAGAAGGTGTTGAAAGCTCTTAACAACATGTAAAGTTCTGAGTTTGCAAGCGCCAAACACAAAACAATGATAATGTTTTAGCACTTTATAAATGTAAGTCACTCTGTCTACTCTTGGGAGACAGTAAATACTTTCAAAGTACAGCATCCTGCCTCTATGCTCAAATAGAGGAAAACAGCCAAATACTTTAAAGCATCAGAAGATAACCATGGTGATGAAAATACATAGCTCTTGTCCTGAAAGGAAAATAAGAAAACACATGTAATTAAAATAGCAGTGAATCTCAAAGAAACCCAAAAAACTACGGTTTTGGTCATGAGTTTCTGAGGCTGCCCCTGACGGCCAGAATTTCAAGTAACAGCACAAATTGTAAGGAAAGGAAGACCGTTTTAGCTTAAGACTGGTCACCAGTGAACCCAATGGTAGATCAGTAATCAGAGAAAGTGCAGAGGATAAATAAACAAGGCCGTGCATCACCTCTTAAAGAGTTAGTGCAATAAGCGCCCTTTCCAATGCTAGAATATACCCTCACTAATGGAGTTTTACAGGCAAGAGGGGATTAGGTTTACTGAACTCCTTAAAAGCTATGTGTCTCTAGACATTGCGCTGATCACTTAACATGTATGATTTGCTTTAATTTTCTGGATAGCTCAGCCAAGTAGGTAGTATTATCACCTCTTTACAGATGGACAATCTGACACGAGGAAATGAAAGTGCTGAGCAGTGGAAGTAGGGCTAGAAGGTGGCTTAGGTGAAACAAAGACGGGTCCCATTCTGTCTCCCTTGTGCACACACTCACTGGGGCTGGGCATGCAGCTATGCTTGGCACCTGCAACAGTCCTTTGCCCCACAGGGAGAAGGACAGTCTGAGGCAGGGTTTTCAATACTTGCTGTAGGCAGTGCTGGTTAGGGGTCTCGGAATCCAAACTGTTCCTCTCCCATAATCCAGTTAGCTGCCCTTTGCATGGGATCCCTACTGGGGAGGCCCACATGCCTGTTCCAAAGCAGAGAACCATCTCATTTCCCTAGTTCCAACCTAACTTGTACTTACAAAAATGGTGAGTCAATTTGGGGACACCCATCTTTTCTTTCTTGAGCTGCAGAAACCCTTAATCCATTCTTTTTTTATTTAATTTTTTTTTTTTTTTTTTTTTTTTTTTAAGATTTTATTTGCGAGAGAGAGAATGAGAGACAGAGAGCATGAGAGGGAGGAGGGTCAGAGGGAGAAGCAGACTCCCTGCTGAGCAGGGAGCCTGACGTGGGACTCGATCCCGGGACTCCGGGATCATGACCTGAGCCGAAGGCAGTCGCTTAACCAACTGAGCCACCCAGGTGCCCCAGCCCTTAATCCATTCTAAAACAATGTTTTGAGGAGGAGACGGAGGTACTAGTAGATATTGTTTGAGTTTGAAGAAATATTTATGTAAGACCTTAATCAAATTGTCATCGGCTCCAGAAAATTAGATATGCGGTTGTAAGTCACAAAGTCCCTTGCTCCACCCACCCATACTCCACTCTAAGGCACCCAGAGGTATCAGATATACACATTCAATATTTACCTACAGTATAACATTGGGACTGTTTCTCACACAAGGACCATGTGGGATGATCTGGGTCTAGGTTTTGAGATGTCAGTGAGATGGCAAAAGCCCAGGAGCAAAGGTTGGGAATCAACACCCTTCAGGGTGATGATAAGGTTGGGTCCAGCCAGCTGAACTATTTCCTTGGCAATCACAACCACCTATTACAGGCTCTGTGCTAGTATCTGCCACATTCACAAGACAAGTGTACCCACTAAGTGCATAGAAAATCACGTCTGAGAACTTTATTAAATAAAAGCCAAAGAGAAAATATTTGCTTACCCAATGACTACAGGCCTTTCTTGCTGAGTCAGTCTATAATCAGGTGAGAGGTACCCAGAGATCAATTTCAGTGGAAACGAATCTTAGTGCTGTTGGCAATGATCTGGTCTCCTCTTGAATGATGGCCAATGCCTTTGTTGACTACTGTACCCAGTTATGTCCTGGGTAAATTTTTTCCAAAGGAGAGCAAAGAGATTCAATTCAGTGACAGTGGAAAATATTCCATTTTGAAGAATAACTATTTGGGGAAGACAACAAATTGGTCAACAGGGAGGTCTTAGGTTCCTCATAAGCCTCGCATCAAAATAGAGCTCTGTAATTTAGGAGAAGGTGGTTGTACCCACATGAGAGGCCTTGGAACAAATTTCCACATGAAGTGATGGATTAATAGGAGCCATGTGGCTAAATTCCTCTGCACTCTAAAAAACCCTTCAATTTATTTAAGAAATGACAATGAATGCAACACTGGCAAAATGCAGCATAAAAGCACAAAAATGAATAAAAGATAAAAAAGGCATCTTCAAATTTCTTTCTAATATAATACTCCTCAAAAGGATCAAGATACAAGTTAACAGGCAGAACCAAAGCCTCCATACACCTCTTTCTGTATCAGGATCCTTTCTGACCTCTCAGTATTGACAGTTATGAAAGAAGCAAGACTGCCTTGAATTTCTATAGCATGAAAAGTTGCCAGGTAAAATAAAATAAGATACAAACAGAGCATAGGACATATGTTTGCAAAACCAAACAAACAAACAAACAAACAACAACAACAAAAAAACGCTGTTTATCAAGAATTCAAATTTAACTGGGCATCCTGTATTTTTATTTATGAAATCTATTAACCTTATGATCAAGCAGTCATGAGCAAATTTTGAATGAACTGCTTCTGAGCTGGTGAATGGTGTGACCAGAGGTCCTTAATCACTCGTGTGCTTTGTGGTTTCCTGAGAAGCTCTTTGAAAATGCTGATTCCTGAGACTTTCCCTTACAGATTCGTTCTCCAACTGGCCAAAGAGCATTATGTTTACCTGCTCTCAGGTGAGTCCTGATGCACACACATTTGAGAATGACTGTTTTAACCCAGACTAATAAAAAGAAATGAGGAAGACAAAATAAGCTTGATTTCTCTGATGGTTCAAATCACTCCATCAAGCCTTTAGAGGTGGGTCAGATGTCTGAAATCTTAAGACAGTGTTAACTTGAGAATGTCAAAAGGAGATCATGGACACCCAAATGTTGTTTAAAAAAATATCATCATGGACCATTTCTTCACTACCCAGATGAAGACACTGAGGGAAAATCACTCACTTTAAATTAGCAATCCAGAAGCACAACCAAGAATAGCATCTCTGACACCTGATGCCAGAATTCACCCCATGCTGTCATTTTTAAACAACTCCTCCTTCCATCCTTTCTGGAACAGCTGAATGAGTTGGCACACCCAACTGAAGGAGCTGAAATATTTTTCTATCCTTAGCTAATGTGTAAACTCCTTAGCTACAAACTACAGTCCAATCACAATATAACATAAAGAAATCCACATTTGAATCAGGAATTAACTCAACAGATGTAAGCTGTTTCTTCATTGTATCAGTAAATGTTAACATAGCATTAAAAGTGAGTAAAGAAAATCTAATTGCACTTTACTGAATATAAAACTCGATTACTTACTGCTTCCAAGGATATGAGGTGTGTGTGTATGTGCATATGTGTGTGTATGTGCGTGTGTGTGTGTATGTGCGTGTGTGTGTGTCTGTGGTAGGAGTGGTGGAGGACAAAGTGTTTCCTTCTCTTACTACTGGCAGAATTTCTTTCCTGTGATATTCTGGACATTTACTATAACTCCCCAACACCCCTCCACTTACAATTAATGAGAACTTACCTCCCATGGAGGCTATGTTTGACAATTCTAAGTGGCTAACTATGAAGTTCAAGATGTCTAAAAACATGACTCAGCCATGAAAGATGTTAACATAGAACCTATGGCAAATCAGTTAGTTGTAAGAGTGGAGAACTGGAAGCTAAAAGTGCAGGATGGCCTGCATGCAATAGATTTCCAGTAGAGTGGAAAGTGGTGATAAGAGATCTATCTTGAGAGTTACTCAGACAAGTTCCACCCTGACTGACCATGAGGCCTTGGGTGGGTTATTCAAACCTTCTGAGCCCCTTCACCATGTGTAAAATGTAAATAACAGCATCTACCAAAAAAGTTAGTTTTTTAGTTAAAGAATCCAACCATGAGGATTAATTAAATGAATAGGTGTGGAGTACCTAGCACAGTGCAGGGCACATGGCCCACTAAATGGTGAGAATGAGAAGCACGACTGTGTGTTTCTGTGGGTCCACTGGGTCACAATGTATCTGCTCATACTGAGGTAAGAACCAGCTCTGTTCCTGGCTAAGTGCAGAACCAATGAGCAATAAAAGAATATCAAGACCTACTCACTGTCCGCAGATAACTGTCTGATAATCAGTTAACCAATACAAGCTTCATAACCCCTGCCATGGACATCAGACCTGATTAATTAATGCTGATAATACAAAATTTCCAAGGCATGCTTCCCAGGCTCCCCGGGTCTCGGTTAAGGGGGTGACCTGTACCTGCATGAGAAGTGAATGAAAATGACGCCAGTTAAATCCCACCAAAGGACAACACAGAAGCACAAATGGTAGTTGATGAATAGCTGATGGATAGTGGCAGAAGTGGTATAAGTGATAAGGCCTATGAGCCCAGGGGAAAAGGGAACCACCGCAGTTGAAGCCTTCTGGGAATTCTTCATGGAAGATAAGCTACTTGAGACTGGCCTTGAAAGAGAAGTGGGATTTAGATAAGCAAAGAAGAGGAAATCCTCGGTTTCTGATAAAAGTAAAGCTGCAGAAAGGAGAGAACGCAGGGCGAAGTGATGACTTATTGCCAGACAGTACATTATTCAGGTCATTTGCAGCACTGAATGCCAGGCACAGAAGTTGGACCATGGCTATTCAGGCCCGTGGTTCTCAAGATTTTCACGTTTGTTCTCAGCACTCTACAACTATTAGATAATCACAGTGACCATTTTCAAGACTCCACCCAAAAAGGTTTGGAGGAGTTGCTTAGAAAAGCTTGACTGTGGAGTATATACAATCTTAGTGGCAGTAACACCTCCCTGCCCCAACACACACACACACACACACACACACACACACACACTTCCATTTCACTGAATATGAAAAAATGGTGTCTCTTGACAAATGGTTTATATCATGGGACACACAAACCTAGAAGAGCTTTGGCAAACCCAATCAAGAGAGACGGTGGTAACAGTATTCTTCAGATGTCAAATGCAGAGTCAGAGGAGAGTCCCACTATAGTTCTGCCCCAGTGGCCTTGCCTCAGCCCACCTTGTTATGCCACAATCTTGTTACTCACTTCCCTTTCTACCATGGTAAGAAAGTTAATGAAGTACCTGGCAAATAATGATTATCTTTGATTCCCTTTTTCTGGCATCAGTCTTTGGTATAGCCTTTGGACATGTCAATGGAAGGGACGAGCTCAGAGTTTAGACAAACTGTTTGTTCCTTCTTGCACCCACATCAACCAGCCCATCCACTGGCTTACCCTCTTCAATGGCCAATTAGGCACCATCAGATGAAAATGTCAGAGTATGTACTGTCTGGCTCCCTAATTTAATATTTTCCCTATCCCATATTTTATTTGCTTATAGTTTGTTAAAGTTTATGAAACCAATATATGAGTGTGATAATTTCCATTTTAAAAGAAATTCTATAATATAAAAATATTATAGCAAATCCAAATATAAAAACATTACAGCCAACCCTGAGCTAAAACCATGGTGACTGTTAAAATGATGTACTCTTCTAAAGAAAAAAATCATTAGCAGATAGCATGCCATACTGAAATAAGTATATCCATTTTAAACCACTCAGGCTTGAGCAAAATAGATGAAAAAAAGCTCTGGGTTCCAAATCCTTAGGATGTCACCAGTGCCCAAGATACACTACCACCACCTTATACCACCCAAACACAATACCACTGAGAAACCTGAACAGACACTTTCTTAAGAGACAGGTCTTACAAACACTTGAAGAAACAAGGCTTTAAAATCTAAACTCTTGACTCAGTATAGAGTGCAATGGAAAAAACATTTAAAAAGTAAAATGGAATATATTAAGCTACCAGAGTTGTTTTCAAAGAAATAATGAGAATATAAGGGAAAACACAAACGTAAAGAATTCATGAAAACCATACACTTCACTCTGCTCCTTCATTAAGAGTACAAATTAAAGCACATCAATGCAATGTTTTAAAAAATAATTGACCTCTAAATGTGAATTAATTTAGCTGCTTCCAATGCTGTGATCAGTTTGAGGTAAGCAAGTACAACAATGAATCCTAATACCTAAAATGAAAAAGGAGTTGAATTATTACATGTTCAATTTTCATATCTACTGAGTTATTTAAAATAACCTCACATAGATTCTAATGTAGAGTTGAAAAGTGAAACCTATGAAAACCAAGGGCTTTCACTTTTAATGGTCAATACAAAGTTGGCAAAAGAAAAAAGGACATCTTTAAAGGAGCCAAGGTATAATCTATGTGTCAAAGTGACAACTCTCCCCTCTTGAATGATGGCTGTCAATACTGGAAGCTAGAGAAGGGGAATGGTAGAGATAAAGAGTCTTATTTGGTGTGAAGGCAGCTTGTCACTTTCCATGCTTGAGTTTTTTCTTGTGTTGAAAGACGATATGCCCATTTGGAGGAAGCCTCTTTGAAGAATACTGTGGTAGATGAAATGGACATACCGACATTTTATAAAAGCCACTAAGATTCACTGTCACATTTAATTAGCATGATCCCCAAACTGTACTGACTGAAACTTTTAAGAGAAAACATCTTGGTAATGACAGCACCTGTGATCATTTTTATTGCTAATGCAAAATCCCTCCAAAAGCACAGAAAAAGAATGCTTTCATAACATCACTTCACGATTGGTATTCTGCCATTGTATGTATGCTAAATACTCATCAGTATTTAGCAAGAGAAATGTATTTTTCAGTAGCTCTGATAAAACCCAAACAAACCATGGTAACCAAAGGGTTTGGGGACAAAATAAACCTCATCTGAAATTCTTAAAACACGTTTCCCACTGTGACTGTC